TAAATTCAAGAAAAATAATGTGACTAATATGCTGAAATACAGCATATAATATTAACTTAACACCAGTCAGCCACAGCTTTAAAACCACCTGCCTAATATTGTGTCAGTCATGCCAGGACATAAAACATTTGACTTCTAACATGATTCTATTTGCACTAAATCCCTCCTGAATATTCCTCAGTACTGTGTGGAAGATCAGCCAGCAGTACCAGGAACGCCAGGTGAAAAGAAAGCTGCACAAAAGCTCAGAATTAGAAGTTTAGTTGTCTAGTTCTGTTCTGTTTGCTCTCAGGAAGGGAGAGGCTGCGTTCCAAGGTACTAGACACAACGCACCCATAGGTGTAACCCTATGACTCGGCCTATTGAGTCACACGTATACCTGTAGGCCCTATTCAATCATTTACTTTATGAATGGGGTAACACGAATAAGGCATTTAGTGCTGCAAGCTGTAAAAAAAAAAACAATAATATTTTTTATTTTTTTGTAATGTTTAAGGTTCTTGGATCAACAGGCACAAACACTATGGAGACATAATCCTGGGGGAATTAAAATTCTCAAATGTTCAGTTTTGTATTGGGAGCTTTCAAAACTTGGACAATAATTCTGGTTTGATTTGAGCTCTGAGACATAACAAATCCTCCAGCTGGACAAAAACATTTCTTTTTCTGAATGTCTCCTGGCTAGGGCCACACCTTCACAGACTCAGGTAGTGAATCTACAGGTACAGCAGGTTTTAACAGCTCCCTGACTGAGCAGCAGACAATAATACCACTAAAGTGCACAAGTCTCTTCCGTGTAAGCAAAAAATAATAATCTTCAGAATTTTCTGTTTAGCAAAATAAGATTTAAATGGAGTTTAAAACATTGTCATGTTAACTAATGTAAACAGACAGACCCACCAGGGGGAACTGAGTGAACAAATAAATATAACAAGTCTGATTTTCAGATCTGACGCCTCCTTTTTTATTTATTTTTTAAATAATTTTTATTTTTAAATTTCTTTTTGAAATAAGGATTAAGTGATCCAGACTGAACTATTACATAACTATTGCCGTAACATTTGATGCACACAGTCATGGCTCCTAGGGGATGAGTCTTTAGACTGGTTATTTACTCACTAATTAAGTAATTTATCGATGCTTAGAAGCCAAACTGTGTACAGACATGCATGGTTTCCACAGAACTCTGTGGGCCATTTCTTACTAACACTTGTCATAAACATAAGCGGTTGGACAGGAATCACCAAACAGCTTTGAAGTAGGCATGCTGGGGCAGGAGCGCAGATACTTTGAGCCCCACCAATATGAAACCCTGAAGGACCAATGAGAGGCCTCCTTGGAAAAACACACGCTCTGCTTCAACTGGTCAGCATACAGAACACATCTCATGATGTGTTCATGTTGTCGCTCATAGTTACACCATGAAACAAGTCTGTACACTCTGAACCACATTGCGTGCTAATTCCCACACAGTAATAAAGAACGTCAGAAGTGGTTAAAAAAAATAAATAAATAAATAAATAAACAAAAAAAAATAATGTTATCTGGGATTTTGACAAATTTGTGCCTAAATGGCTTGATAGTGCCCCCCCCTCCAGAAGTTCCCTGTCGTAGCCCTTTCACTACATTTCATTTACATAAACAACATAAACTTACAAAAAGCCTGCTGTAGCCATATTCTAAACCTTCCCATCAGGTTTAGTTGGTGTCATCCAAGGACGTTTGCAAAGCCAAGTGACTTTTTGTTGAATGTACATTATCCAATACGCCCAAAACTTTACAGCATTTATGAGGCCCCTGGAGACTGAGAGAGTCGTGCATTCATGACATTCAAGAAGGTCATGCAGGGAGAACATGGGTTATCAGGTTGAACACACACTTGTGGAGTCCAGGCCACAGGCTTGGGTGCAGGCTGTCCTTAAAACATGAGTAAATACCAGGATGTTCGAAAACTCATGCTCACTTCTCTGGGATTCCATTTGTTAGGCTACTATTGTACTATTGTAATTCTAAAAATGCAATAAATTTAAAACAAATGCAAAATAGACATATTTTTACTGGTGGTTTTACACTTTTGGACTCCACTGTAGTGTATCGCTGGAACTTCTGGATATCTATACAGACAACAGATGTAAATACTCTGTTTTCATATAAATAGTGGGAAAAAATCGCTAAAGCCAGATTCTACTTTTGTCATTGTTACATTCCTTTGTGATATTTTACCTGTTTTAATTTTTATAGCTTTGCTCTTTATGATGCTTTTTTTTTTGTAACTCTACTGTAGTTTTTTAATGTTTTAAATCACTTTAGTAACAGAACTTTGATTTTGTGCATAAACATATTTGATCATTGTCAAAGGTATAATTGTAAATATCACACACTGCAGTTTGTTCATATCGACTTCCAGGTTCATGGACGGCACAGAGCACAGAGACTGGACAGTAAATAGTACCGAGTGTGTAGTCAGGACATTAGCTAACAAATAGTGCCCTACTTGTGCCTTACTTGGCAAGCAGACAAAGCAACATTGAGTATATTTGCCCAGTTGGTCTCCACTGCAGGTGTATGTAGAGAACCTATATATGTCCACGTGTTTGTGCACGCACTGTGTACATGAACTGGACTTTGCACTAGAATTTGCACTGGACAAGTAAAGAAAAACAAGCACAGAAAGGACTGGATGTTCTAAAAAAGTGAAGAAAACTGATAATGACACGCTGTGGTTGCGGCAAGAGAGGTGGCACAGAAAGAGGAGATAAGTGAGAGTGAGGGAGGCAGACAGACAGAGAGAGAGCTGTCACTGTGTGTGTGTTTCATACTGATGCTGAAGGGGAAACAAGGCGAACTTTCCCATTTATATACAGCTTTATTCAGCAGAATCAGACCCGGCTAACCTACATTGCAGGCCCACCATCTCATATTTATTCAGCTCTGAGGAGCAGTTGAGTCAGGTGTCTCTGTGCTGCTCTTTATTCACAACTGTCAGAGCTGCTGCTGTGATTCATCAGGATCTGAGGAAACATGGCTTTGATCAGTTTTTTAGGAATCACAAAACGTTCCATCTATTTTTGGCTTTTTTTTTTTTGCAAACCTATTGTCTCATCAGACTGCAAGAGTGCTGCTCTCTTTTAGGGTTGTTACTGAATATGGAGTTTAAATTTAGTTCTGTCAACACTGATGTGATGCGATACTAACTTGTGTCTTGATGAGTCAAAATAAAATTCTACTCACTATCCAATTACTGTTAACAGTCAAAATGTTGTTGCTTGTTATTCATGCAAACATCAAGTGTCTTTTCTACCATCAGTGATGATTCCTCATGGCTAATTAGGGCTACATGATATTGAGAAAACAACAGTGTGATATTTTATCTGTGTCATATATTACGATATGAAAAAAAATAACAAAATTTACACCAAATAAGTTGCTGCATTTAGAAAGAAATAATCATAGTCGAGTGACTTTGTGGTGATTTTAATGCAAATGCACAGAAATTCTATACTTTTTCTGAAACATTACTTTTTATTGCGCAGCCCTTTTTTATGGTTTACTGTTGCTAATTTTTATCTACTCAGGAAAATGCATTCAAAATATTTTTTTTTGCAACTGATGGTGCTGCAATCTGGCTTCATCATAGAGAACAATGTGGTGCAGACTGAAATAGTCGAACAAGTTTGTCGTGTTTGCTCATGTAATGGCAACAATTGCAAAACACTGCCAGCGTGGTGAATGTTTTTGGCCAAAATCGTTCTTTCTTTAGCTAAAATATTGCCATACAACTGACCAGGACTTTTACATTTCAACAAACAGAGCTCTGCTTTCAATTGCATATTGAGCTACATTCTTGCTGATGTACAAATCTTTGCATCAAAACAGGATATAAAATAAGTTTCAATCTCACATGAGTTTAGTGCATCTCCTAGAGGCAACTTACATGCATGGCCAGAAGTGTCTCTGAAAAGTGTGAAATAAGGCGTTCTATTGTCAGACTGACCCATGTGAAGTAACGTGGTTTTATCTACACAGATAGTTTCCTATGAGCTGAATAAGTGGACGACTCAGTCTAAATGCCAGCTTCAGTCGATCATTGTCATTGTTTGTGCGATTATGATTAATATGTAATTAATAAAGCAGCTGATGTCTTTTTTGAACAGATCTTCTTTTTTGGTGTTTCTTTCCTGGCCTTCGCTCATGTTGCTGTTCACATGTGGAGCCTGCAGACCACACCTGCATGCTGACAGACTCTATGTCACGTAAATGAAGCTAGATTTCAGAAACAAATCTCTTAAATCACTGTATATTGTGCTTTATCAGACAGACTTCTTATGTAGATTAGTAATGGAAAATCTGAAACTGAGAATGTATTTTTTTTTTGGTACCAAGGATGAAAACATGATGTGTTTGAGGTACTTTGCCTGACTTCACAACATACTAAGTGCTGATGTGGCCGTCGTGTGCGCACACATCACAGCTGTGCAGCCCATCTTATGTCTCATGAATACATCTTATAACTCTTTTTATATAACATATTGTGACTCACTCATGAAACTGTTTAATTTCTGTCAGCCAGAACCAACACAACAGCCTTCACTAATCCACAGCAACAGAACCAAGGAACCAGTTCAAACATCAGTAAATCTAGCGTCTGAAATAAGAAGTTGTACTGCTGAAGAGGGATTCTTTAGGGGTTAAAACAAATCCATCACTCAGGAAACCTACAGCCAACAGCCTTTCCACAACACAGATGCTCATTTTTGTCCCTGTATTTTCACCCTGGGCTGAGAACTTTTCTAGACATGTTTGCTGGTGCATCATAAAGGTTTCTGCCAAGATACACGACTACAAAGAACCAATTCATGCGCCTACAGAGAACCTGTTTGTTAATGTGTGTCTTGCACATTGTAAGTCATATGCACTTCTGACCAGCACACTGCATCTCCTGTGCAGTTACATGTAAAGCTGCTAGCACCCCTCTGCCACTGCACAACAATATTACTGACCTTAAAGGCAAACTTGCGGGTGATGCTGTCCGACGACCGCACTCCTCCGATCCGGAAGCTGAGCAGGGGCAAACTCCCTAACACTGTGTCCTCCTTCTCATCTGTGAAAAGGAACATTGACAGTGTGAGGACAGCCCAGAGAGAATCACAGATACAGAATAATGATCAAGAGCATTGCTACAAGTACTATGCCAGTGAAATACTAATTACGGCCTGAGTCAGTGCATTCAATCTGCTGGAAAAAAAAAAAAAAGGCAGCAAAAGAAAGCAGGAATGTTCAGAAGCCAAACATGAGAGTGGGATCAGAAGTGTTCTCCTCCCAGCACATTCTCTGCTTTCACAGTGACAGTTTCCTAGAATAGACATCCATTATGGTTCCCTGCGCTAGGCAGCAGTATCACATCCACACACATGCATCCAAGGATCCAGCAGTGATAAACATGAGTGCTGTAGAAGGTGAGCACCAGTGCTGACGAAATAATGGAGGGAGACATGAAAATTTCAGCAGTTTGAAAAGGGATCTGTGTGTGTGTCCTCCTACCTTTTCTATCCTGAATGGAGCTGAGCACCGACACTCGCTCACTCACCCTCACTGACTGTGTGCTCATGTGTGGGTGTGTGAGCGAGAGAGAAAAACAGAGAGCAAAGGAGGGCAAAGGAGCAGGAGGGAGAGAGAGAGAGAGAGAGAGAGGCAGGGAGAGCGGTCTGGGGGAGGGGGAAGGGCTTGTGCAATCATACAATACGCAGATCCCTGCTCTGTGTGTGTGTCTGTGTGAGATAATGATCAGCCCATGTGACTCAGTGTTGCAGGAATCTTGGCCCCCGCCCAGCTGTACCTGCTGCCTGTCTGCACCAATAAGATTTCAGCTGCATATACTGTACACATACATAGGAACAGGGATATACAGGGACACTCCTGCCTCTCTCCTGCCCGTGTCTCCCATACATGAGCAGCTTCAATCATTTATTGATGTCTTAAATGCAGAGACTAAAGCCGTGGAAATGTATTCTGTTAGACTATCTCAACAGAAAACACAATGCTACATACAAGATGAGTGAGATAGGAGTTGAGAGTGCAAAAAGTGATCATAGCAACATGACAGAATAAAACACTTGGCACAAACAATATGAAGACATGTCACATTTCAGAGAAGCTGAATCTGGCTAATCTGTGGTGTCTTTATTGTTTGTTATTTGCCTAAATTATATATTTTTATACTTTAAGGGTGAGTATCTGTACCTGCAGACACTTTTGGTTTCA